TTTGCTTGGAAGGGGCTGTTCTCACATTTTTCCAATCAGCTTCCAAGTAATGGATCGCTCAGCCACGTTTAAGTAAATTTTTGTTTCCTATATTTTTATCGCTGGTAGTGGACCCCTATTGTTCAAACTGATGTCTGTATTTGTTTCTGTACCTGTTAATAAAATTTTGATTATTATGCACTTTATAACATACGTTAAAAATGTATATTTAAAAAATTAAAACATTTAAAAATGTAGCGTAGTTCATTTCTGTATTCCTTTTGAACAGCCCTAAGTGAAATTTCTCGTCGATACATACTTTTTTGAAATCTACCCGTTAAAGCAGGTACTTCGACTTTGACTTCGGAAAAAGGGTTTCGCTTTCCAAGTATGGGTAATGAAATAAGATATACAGTCGTACATGAGTAGTATCTGGAATCATAAATTATCAAAACATTAAAGATCGAAGCTTCCTTTTTACAATGATTTTCCTGAATATTGAAGCACAATTTGTTCTCATCGCTTTGTGCTATTTTGAATGAAGAACGTTTACTCAAAAAAGTATAAAAAGATCTAAAAGCACTTATTTCTTAGACAAAATAATTCTCATACAAAGTGGCATAAAGCGACTAGAAAAAAACGTACATAAATATTCAATGGGGTTATTAATTAAAACCTGTTTTCCTTTCCAAAATTCCAAGTGCAAACATATTAAGTAAATATACATGTATAATACCTTCATTAGTATTTACTTATTTGCAGTACTACTAGGACTTGCATCCATTTTATTGAGAGCAATGTTAGTTATTTGTACAATAATTTTCAATATTGATATATGATATATACAATAAATAATATATGTACAATCATAAATAAAAATATAATTTTTATCAATTCATATTCTGCATGTAAAGTAATTAATTAGTTTACAAAATATGACTTACCTGATCTTTTAATAATTGAAATAATTTATAAAAATACAATATCACACAATTTAAATTCTAACTTGCATTATACTGCATAACGAACGATGGTAGTGGGCAACATGGCCAAACGAAGACTCCACGCTTCCCCTTCTCCTCACATTTTGCCGGCATAGGCCCCCTTTTTTCTCGCCGTTTTCGCCCTTATCGCTGCCTGACTATCTGATTTTGACAGCTTGCGACGAAGTGAGAAAAAATAACAGGTGTACTTTCGTACTACGGTATGCGTCAGATATATCTCACGTAAGACTACTAATTTTGTAAAGGACCCACGTTATTTTTCCCCAATGCTGCTCAGGCAGTAGAACTACACGCCCACGGCGAGAGCGGAGAAAGCGAAGGGAAGTTTAAGCCGGCAAAATGTGAGAAGGCCAAGTATGGAGTCTCCGTTTGGCCATGCTGTTCCAAAATAAAGCGGCACTCGGCTAGTGTATATAATGAGTGGATAAAAATGATTATATGCCAATTTGTGTAACAGGCCGTCTCACTACAGCCGAAATATTGATGTAACCCAACCTATACTAAATTAATATCATTTAATCAGATTAGGTTGGATCAAACTAGTATTTTAATTACTGTAAGGCTACCAATCACGTAAGCTTTACAATGATTTTTTTCTCCAACCATCCATTGTATACGCTCACCACCATGTGTCCATAGAAACACTAAATGAGTGGCGCTCTTTTCAGCATCGCGTTTACGATATACGTATGTATAGGAAGAGTTCAATGTATTAGTACTAACAATTTTTACAAATATTTTGAAAACTAAGGCAGAACAGCAATTATTATACAAATAACAATTGTTTAGAATTTCGTTCTTTATAACATATTTCAAAATCACCAGTATTGGTCTACATATTCTGCAGTTTTTTTGCATAAAAGTACCAAAAGCATATTACTTTTTCAAACTCCATCGATTTATATTTCTTATTGATACTAAAATATAGTCTTTGTTGAAAATTGGGAAAAAAAAGTTGATTTAAGGTAAGATTATTGAACTACAGTTTTATCCTTTTTTTAATAGCGCTATCTCTTTATACTGCATTTGTCTCTTTTTTTCCATTTTACCGATTATTTCTTCTTGTCAATCGTGTCAGGTGTTGAGCTCCAGACATTGACTGTGGGTTGTAAGAGAAAGATAGAAATGATCCATGTGAATTTAATTGAGCAGATTGTACTTAAATTTAATCAAGAATTACTGTACTAGGCGCATATTACAATATTTGCCTACTATCACTTAAAAATCGTTATCTGCATCCGTAGTTTGTCCTTCTAAGAATCACATATACTTCCATAACTAATATGGTACGAAACTCTACCACAGACAACAAAAATTACAGAATTTCTGAAATGACATCAAAGTATCTTAGAAAGCTGTTGACAAATTTCAAGGGCAAGTAGGTTAGTTAAAACGTAAAAAAGTAAAAAAATCTTAATATACATGAATCCAAATATCGTTAATTTCAAAGTTTTGAGAAATTTTCAACAGTGAAGTATTACTTATCTCTCTGTACATCAGTATATAGCAAATGTTCGATATGATCTCCATTCGTTTCAATACACACTTCAATACGTTTTCTCATAGATACATGTTTACGTCCAAAGATTTTATGCAATATCAATGCATACTGTATTTACTTTGTTTGATCTAACGATCTACACAATAAGTTATAGATACATACGTAGTAGCTTTGTGTCTTATACAAAATGGTATCTTAGAAAAAATGTTTTATGACTATGAAACTAATAATATTTGAATCCATGTTTATCAAAACTTTTAATTTTTTTAACGAGTACTATATGTCTAACGTTTAGCATCAACTTTCTGATGCTAAACGATCACACATAAAGTTTCGAAAGATCCCAGTGGTCGATTGAGATGAAATTTGGGGAGGAGGAAAACCGTTGATAAAATACATCTAACTTTAGTTAACATGTACGCAGTTATGTAGCAGTACACGCGTTAGCCTCTGACTACTCTTTCTGTAAACACTTCACGATATATATAACCTCACTGATATATATAACAGATAGCTAGTTGGTAAAATATCATTATCATGAAATAAATATTGCCTTATGAATCGAACGGAAGTAAACTCCTAATGAATTTTTGAAATTGCGACACTCAAGACCTGAGATCGAGTTCCAAATAGACTAGACCCTTCTAGATTTTGATTTTGAAATACATTAAAAAAGACCAAATTTATACTTTTTCATTTGTAATATTATTGGGTTGACTTTAGTTTCCGAAGTATTAGCAAAATTTTATTCCTACTACTACATAGAATTCAACGTATAATTCAATGTCAATTTTGCAATGGTTATACGTATAAGAAAAAATTATTCAATATGCTGATTTCTACAACATATTCAAAAATCATAAAAATCTCGAAGAATGTTTGTTCATGTGCTACAGGCATCAAATATTAATCCATATTAATCCATATATAAATTTCCAAATTAATTTTAGTAATTATTAAGATTAAGGGATTCAGATTGGATGACCTTGACCTTGACATATGTTGTCAAGGACAATATTTTGAGTTATCTGTAAGTAGTTTTAGCTCTTCTTTACATAGAATTTACATATTACTCATGCTGGAGGGATATCGTATGCTGGCTACGATCGACTCTTCACTCAGCGACGATTTAACCATTCGTCGATAACTTGTATTGTACCAATGTAATATGTTGCAGATTGAGGTCCTGCGTAACTTGTTGTGAGTACAGTAAACAAGTTAGATTGGAGTCCTGTGTGATTTCTGTTATGTACAACGACATTTTAGTTTAAACTTATTTAATGACTCCTGTTACCATTGTATCCGACTTTGGCTATGGTCATTAATGGCTCCTGTTACCGGCGGAAAGTTAAATATAGCTCAACCTATAACCATTTTAAAAAACTAATTTTAATACGATAAGCTAACCAATGTCATAAGTATGTATCGCACTCGTTCCAATCCACATGCATATTAATTTATTATAAGTTGAGCTATATTGAAATCGTCGTCGAAAAGACCAGCAATAGAAATAAACACTTGGTTCAATGTTAAAGGAATACAAATTTTTGTTTATGCTTTGTAACGAACAATGAGCGGCGACTAAAATTTCTTGAGAATTACTTGAATGAGTAACCTCGGCAATATGTGTCAAGATTAAGGTCGTTGGACTTTAATTCCTTAAACTAAATAATTACATTAATTTTTTAGTTATAAATTATTTTTTAAAATACTATACTTTATTTATTTCATAAAAATAATTACTTATTTTTCTTACAACTTATTAATTTTATCGAGGAAAATATTGAACAAATAGAAACAAATCATTAGTAGGCATTTATATAAAAATAATTATTTCTACAAAATATTAAATTATTTAATGCTTATGTATTATTTTTTACAAATTATAAATGTTATGAAAAATAAGTATGTAAAATATTTCAGCATATTCTTTTATGTACATAAAAGCAAATAATTAAAATTGAAATCAAAAGTAAATTACACAATACACAATGGAATAGATAATTTTGATGTTCCCATATATAATTAACATTATAATTATATTTATTATATTATGAATAAATATAAATGTAAAATGTTAGTTTCTTTCATACTCTTATTTATTATATTTATATTTATTTTTAATATTTAATTTATATAAAGTAAATATAAGGAACTTCTATTATAGAAAGCAAATTTATATTTTTATGTTTTAATGCTACATTATTATTTGTTTTGAAACACTTAATCATAGAGTGTTATATAGATATGAAGCAAAGTCACAAAGATAAATATTAATTATGTAATAATAGCTTAAAACAGATGACTATGTAAAAATATTATTTACAAAACATTCATTCATTTTTATTTTATTAATTTATAAGAATTATTTATTCAAGAAACAAATTATTGTGTAATGAATTTAATTATCATATACTTGCATATACAATCATATATAATGTTTAATATATTTTCATTTATAAATTTAAGATATTAAGTAATTTATGACAAATTTATTTATTTTTGATATTTTTGTGTTATTTGTCTTTATTTTTTATTTCCCATAAACTATTTCTAACAAATCTTTGTGCTGCATCTTTGTTTACACGTGGCATAAGAGTGTTTCTATCATTAATTTGTTTTGCACGTGCCATAGATTTTTTTAAACGATCATTTTCTAATTTTATTCGATGCTTTGCTGGATCAATTCCTAGATACATACATATAAAACAAAGAGAATAAAAATTACATAATTTACATTTAACTTAAAAGTATTGTATATGTATAAGTACTTGTTCCTTCTATTAACATTTTACCTTCTGTACGCAAATACATCCAAAACATACTATTTAAGCAATAAGACATCAATAAATTATATTCAATTTTATCTGTATTAGAAAGTTTTTCATATATTGCTGAATTTACAGCATATTTAATTGTGTCTTCAATTTTTAATGTTGTATCGTGAAATTGTTTAACTTTTGTAACAATGTCTGTATCTTGCGATAATTCTTTAAAATCTGTATCCATATTTGATCCAAAAGGTTATAATTCGAATCTACAATACAGACTATAAATATCTTACAAAATAAATAATTTATTAGAAAAATAAAAATACACTTACATTCCTAATTTACAATTTAGATGTTTGACATAGTTAAAATTTGAAGTCATAAGATATTCTATATCAGATTTTACTACTAACCGTGCTGAACAATATGGCAATTGCCATTGGCAATAGCATGCATATGAGACTTGGAACTGGAAGTATAGAAACAGAGCTGCCAGGCGTCACTACATTCTCTGACTTTCAACGTGAAAGTAGGAGAAAAGGACTAGGAATGGGAAATGATACACTTCTAGTCCATGTTTCTAACTATCCTGTAGCGAATGCCTAGCAAGTCTGCATATGATGCGCTCATTAATGCCAAGAATTCATCTTTGATTAGTAATATATTTAATGTGATTAAAAATTTATAATTTTTCAGTTTTTTATATTTATTATTTATTTCTGTGCAGTATGGATTTAGATAAGAAAAATACTACATATTCTTACTGTATAAATATGATTTTAAAAATAATTTTCTTTTTTAAATTTAGATATTGTTTGTATTATATATATGTTAAATACATGTATTAAATTATTCTTTTAATAATAAAAGTATAAAGTAATAATGATATTTTTATTAATAGAGAATGATAATAGTATTGTCTTTCCTTTCATAGAAAAAGTTTAGTTCAAAGAAGATTTTGCATTGTGTTTAGTAAATATTACTATTTTTCTTGAAATGATTCTGATTACAAATAACTATTCTAAATGATTCTTATTTTTTTTTATTATTAATAACTATTATTGAAAAAAATGAAAGAAGAAAGATGAAAGAAATTATTGAAATAACTTATTATAGATTACACATAGATTTTTAATCTATGGTGTAAGTGAGGAAAACACACACCAAATGTTAAGAAAACTGGCTCATATTCTTTATTGACATTATTGAACATAATAGAATTTTCTAGTTATAATAATTATTTTATAAAAATGTAGCAGAAAACATTGAGGAATTTTAATATTTTATAAAGGATATCTTGTATTTGTAATATTTAATGTAATGTATATAATGTATAATATACAATAATTCTAATGTAAAAAATGTGTACTTTTATACATACGTAATTTTGTACTTCAATATTTGTCCTCATAAAAAGCTTTAAGTATAGAAACTTATTTGTTTTGTACAAGCTACATGTATTTTGTTTATATATGTATATAAATAAAGAATTTAAAAGTTTAATATTTCATTATTCATTATTTATTACATTTCTAAAGTATTTCATAGTTATGGTTAACTGATTATATTATAGTTTGGTTAATGGGATAAAATAATGTCCTATCGAACATGACGTCACATTATCCGCGTCCTGTTGCTAGGCAACTGAGCGTTGCGTTCCTACCAGCTTCAGTGATTTCTTTTCTACTACTCTAATGGGAGGGGAACACTTGGCCGCCCTTCTGTCGTTTCTTTTCCTGGTAGCCATTCTAGGTACATTGAAGCCAGACTTTCACATTGCTGCCACTCCCACTCTCAGCACTATTAGTATTGTAGTTGACTGTGCTAGTACTATAATCGACTATGATAATAAGTACATACACCTTACAATATTATAAATTATTTGTAACTTATATTTATTATGTTATACGATTGTGTGAATTCGACTTTAGTATATCTATATTTAATGATATAGCATAGCCTATGTGTAAATTAGAAATGAAATATTAAATTATTTGTATACGTATGAAATGTAAAACACCTTTGTATATCTTACTATTATATATATAATAAGATATCGAAGTTCAAAGAACAGAATATATTGTTCAAAGAACTTTGAGTTCAGTAATTATAGATCCTGAGCGCTTTCATAAAGAGTTATGTTTTTCTTTTTGGATTTACATTCGATCATTTTTTCCTTGTATAAATATATCACATTTTTTAATGTAAAGATGTAATTCTTTTACAATCAATGACTTGGGTGTGGAATGAAATAAATGATAAAATCATCGATCAATAAAGGAGAACCTCATATATGATTAAATGAAACTTTGGAACAGGACTTTAGATTAAGCAAAAAGTATTCAAGTGGAAATCGTGATGAAAAAAAGATTTTCGATTATTACATTTTTGTATTTTAAGTAATAGGATTTTTAAATCAGCTCGTATTTTATGATAAACGTGATTTATATTTTCATAATTATTTCAATTTTCGCGCACTGTGATAAACGGAGCAATCAGAGCGAACCATGCGCACCAACCTACATAGATTACAAATTAACTGACTGTGAAATACATATAAATACTAAAATCGACTATGGAACAATGGTTATAAATTTATATAATTTATGATTGCTTGATAATTTTTAGTTATAATGATTTTTTAATTTAATTTTTTTGAAATCTGAAAGATTATTATGATCGTTTTCCAACTATGCGGAGTATGTAATAAATAATTTCTTTTCAAACTCTAGGGAATTATAGTTTCAAAATATATTTGACATCTCCTTTATAAGTAATTCGTGGAGAATCAAACAGCTGATTCGTTCTATGGTAGAGCACATGTCGTGGTAGGATGTTATAATATTACGGTATTTTTATGTAAAGTAATGAAGTTTTAACAAAAAAGTAGATATTTTTACATCTTAAAAAAAACATATTGCTCATATTTATTTGAATGTGCGATGAAAAAGAAAGAATTGTAAGTTGTTTTTAAAGAAATTTTTGTCTAAGAAAAATGGCTGACCGTGATAGCGCATCTGAAAGCGACTCAAGCTCGATCGACGGAGGACCAATAATGATGCCCCCGTCTCCCGTAACTAGAGAACAACTACAAAAAAGAATCGAGTCACTACAACAACATAATCGTGTTCTTAAAGTTGAGCTAGACACGTATAAATTAAGAGTAAAAGCATTACAAGAAGAGAATCGTGGACTTCGGCAAGCTTCTGTCATTATAGTAAGTTTCTCGTATATTTTTACTAAGTAAATAAAAATTCTGTCTTTACTAATTTTACGTATTTCTTGATGCAAAATATTTTGCAAAGAATTATGTTTTTGTTATTCAATATACAAAGTATTTAATTTTAGGTTAAATTAAAACATTTATTCAATATGAAATATTTTTCATATATTATTTGTTTCCATTATAACGTTTTTACAATTTCATATTTTATTTAAAATTTGTTGTATATTTATTCTATATAATTGTTTCAATCTCTTGTTTATATATAATTTGCCATAATTTAGTTATATGTAATATTTTACATTACATGTAAAATATGATTTGAGTAAAAAAAAAATATTTACTTTATATAATTTTGTTTTAAAAAATAAATGACATATATAAATCTTTTTCTTGAATAACCAATTCTTACTTACAAAATATATTTGTATTACAAAATTATATAATTAAATACAACATTTTTGTATGAAGCAGTTACAAATTATCTTTTTCATTTAAATATTGAAAAGATTATTGTTTGTGTTTATACAATTTCTATAGATATATTTGAATGTAATTACTAATACATTTAATTATTAATCGACAAGCTATAAAAATGAAAACTAGTTGCATAATATAAATAATATTTGTTAATAAATATATAAACAAAATTGTTTTATAAGAACATTATCACATATTTATTTTTCTACTTGGTAAACTTCAAAATTAATTATGTAGCTGTTGAACTTCATAATAATTTTTATGTAACTGATGGAATTTTATTTTTATATATTATGTATATAATTATCTTATATATCAATGCTTTGATTTTTTTATTGGATTATATTATAGCAAGCTAAAGCTGAGCAAGAAGAGGAATTTATAAGTAACACATTATTAAAAAAAATACAAGCTCTTAAGAAAGAAAAAGAAACATTAGCACATCATTATGAACAAGAAGAAGAATGTTTAACAAATGATTTGTCAAGAAAGTTGAATCAATTGCGTCAAGAAAAATGTCGATTAGAACAAACTTTAGAACAAGAACAAGAATGTCTTGTAAATAAGTTAATGAGAAAAATAGAAAAACTCGAAGCTGAAACACTTGCAAAACAAAGTAATTTGGAGCAGTTACGTAGAGAGAAAGTAGAACTTGAAAATACACTTGAACAAGAACAGGAAGCATTAGTAAATAAATTATGGAAAAGAATGGACAAATTAGAAGCTGAGAAACGAATGCTTCAAATAAAACTAGATCAACCTGTATCAGATCCTGCTTCGCCAAGAGAAATCAATAATGGTGATACTGCTACTAGTCTAAGTGCACATATTCAAACTCTAAGGAGTGAAGTAGCCAGACTAAGACATACATTGTTCATCTCACAACAAGAACGTAAGAATTTTCATTATATAATAGTGTAAAATATTTGTAATGATAAATATATGTGAAATTTTGAAATTAATAATAAAATAAATAATTTTATGAATCAATTATTAGTAGTACTAATATTGTTTGGTACTTCTATTGTTTATATTAGATTGTCTTTCTGTTATTTATATTAGATACAGAGAAGATGCAGCGATATGTGAATGAAGAGAAACAAATTCGCGAAGAAAATTTAAGACTTCAGAGAAAATTGCAACTAG